GGCAGGGTTTATATTTTTAAATCAGGGTCCCTGATTTCCAGCTTCAGCCGTTTCCAGCATCAGCCGCGACAATTATTGTTATAATCTCCCGATCACTATATCAAGATCACAGGAGAATTAATTAATAATATTCTGACCATATGTGAATAAGCGAAAACAAAGTTTCCGCTAATTCTCAATGAATTAGGAGATTATTATTACGAATATCATATGACTACTTTTTTTAATAAAAAAATGCTTATCTTATTCAGTTACTATGGATCTAAATTTGACATGCTGCAGTGGCTTTCTCTCTCATCAAGGTAGCAATATGTCTTTGCTTCTTCTTTTGATCCTACGTATACTACAGATAAGCAAATTCCGAATTCTTGATTTCTCTTCATTATTCAAATTGTTTTTGTTTGGTTAGTTACTTGCTCTTGAGATTCTAAGAATAATTTCATTATTGTTAAACCAATATCTCCTGAAGCTATATAATATCTATGTATGAATTGAATGAATTCAATGATAATAGTAATAATCTGCAAGCACAGAACTATAATTATCTTAAACATATGAATAAAAGCTTAAAAATTGTTAGAGATTATGTATAACGTGAGAAATCTTTATATAGTACATTTTGACTAGGGATGTAGCCCAAACTATTTGAGATGAATCAAACTATGCAACAATTAGAATCACATAGACATTTATTAGATTTATACTTATTGTCAAAACAATGTGATACTAATTGTCACATAATTTGGGTCGTCTCAAATAGTTTAGGCTACATCTCTACATAATTTGGGTTGTTCCAAATAGCTTGTGCTACATCCCTAATTTTGACTTTACCAAGACAGCCAGAAAGGGTTCAAATACGTGTTAAAAGATAGCAATAACAATATAATATAACATAAGGCAGATGCATATACGGTATATGCACATATATACATATATGTCTGTCTATTACTATTGTTCAAGACTTCTTGTTAATATTATATCGACATTTTAAAATTTTGATTCTATATGCAAATGCTTCTAGTTAAACCGACATCTGGATATATCGAACATTTTTTTGATTTTTTTGAATTGTTGATATAACCATAATACTTTTAGCATATGGTTGACTTTTTTTTGTTTTTTTCTTTGATGCTCTGAAAAAGTTTTAGCGTTTGAATTGTAAATGTTTTTATATAAAGTAAGATTTTTGACTCTTCACCTTAACTGTTGCTCTCTATGAATGATGATTACGATTACGAATTTTCTACTTATTCAACTTCTAGTAGTACACCTAATACAAGTCAATGGGCAAGCGTTTTAGATCAAGACAACGATAATTCAGTTTCTTATTCTCAATCACCACCTTTAGCCAATGAAACTACCAATAACAATAATAATGCTAAAAGAGTTAAACTTTCTGATAAACCTGGTTTTGCTCAATCCTTTTTTGAATTTTATGATCAGCCCAGAATTAAGCCTGGGGACAAGCCAATAACTAAGGCCAAATGTAAGGTCGAAGGTTGTCAAACTCAATATGTATGGTATGGTTCAACAACTAATTTAGTCAATCACCTCTGTGATGTTTATCATATCACAAAAACGTTGCTTGAATATAGCTCAGTTGAAGAGCTTAAAAAATCCTCTCAGCAAACCATAGAAACCACTTTATCAAAACTTTATTCAGCATCAAGACAACAGAAGCTTACACGAAACATTATCATATTTTTTATCTCTTGTACACTTCCCTTATCTTTAATAGAAATAAAATGTTTCGTACCTTTTTAAAATCATTTGACCCTCGATACAAACTGCCATATGTAAATACAATTAAAAATGAAATAGTAAATAGAACAAATCATACAACTCAAGTTATTAAACGTATGCTTACACAAATAAATACGATATTGTTTACATTTGACTTATGGACTTCTCGAGCGCATGATTCTTATCTAGGCGTAACCTGCCACTGGATTTCAGATGAATTTTGTATTTATGATCTTACATTAGGTGTAATCGAAATGGGTGCATATAAATCCGCTGATGATATCGTTAGTTCTATCGAACCTATGCTTGAAGAATTTGGTCTAGAAGGAAGTAAACTATTAAGTATAACTACAGATAACGGCTCTAATGTTAAATTAGCTATTACACAATTATCAGAAAGACTTTCAGTCTCAAGCCCAATTGCTAATATTTTTTGTGCTGTATATACGTTGCAGTTAAGTGTTGAAGCAGGTTTGGAGGTTGCACACAACTTATTTACAAAATGTAAAGCACTAATTTCACTTTTAAGTGGTGAAAAAAAAGAAAACAATTAAGAGAAGCACAACTCAGGGTAGATATATTAAAAGCTAATATAGTTAATGTAATAACAGATGTAGCAACACGGTGAAATTTCACCTACATGGCTCTTAAAAGACTTGTTGAACTCAAACGGCCAATTAAGTAGCTAACCAATAACCTTGAAAATTCAAACAATAATGATCATCGTCGTGCTAATATTTGTG